GTGAACGAGCTAACCTGAAGGCAAGTGAGCGTAGCGAACGAGCTAACCTGAAGGCAAGTGAGCGCAGCGAACGAGCTCCAACCTAAAGGTGAGTGAGCGTAGCGAACGAGCTCCAACCTAAAGGTGAGTGAGCGTAGCGAACGAACTTCAACCAGGACGTGATTGAGCCATGCGAACGAGATCATCTTGAAAATTAAGAAGTTAAACGGGGCAAAGCCCGCGGGTTACAGCTAGTAGATATATATTATGATAAAACTTGGCAAATTTATTTATTTTATACTAAGCTATTGATATTTTACCATTTAAACACACTTTATTTGTTTCCTTGTAGCAGAATACCTAGGTACTCGTTAAAGCTAATGGTTTATTTTTAAATAGATTTGATTGAAAATAAATTAATCTCTTTGAATAAATGTAGGTTTACACGTTTGTACTAACTTTCATCAAAATCGAATCATTTTTGTTCGAGTTATGTATAGTGGTAACGGACACATATACAGGGTGAATAAAAAGTCAAGACCCCCCATCTAATATTTTCCCAAGTAAATATACAGAGATATCCTTTTGGTGGTCGTGCAATCTTAGCAGGAAGTTTCATTTTATGACTTTGAAATTTTTGAGTGTCCCCCCAAAAGCCGATTTCTGGGGCAACTAAATATTTTTCAATGTAAACCTCCATCAAGTGACACCTCATTTTGAAGTGTTTACAAAAACTTAAAGAATGGTGAAAACTAGAGGTCGCAATCTCTTTTCTATCTAAAATGGTAGCCAATATTACCATTACGAACCAATTTTACCATTGATTTTCCACAACATTTGACGGGCTACTATTTCGGATAGAGAAGAGATTGCGACCTCTAGTTTTCACCATTCTTTAAGTTTTTGTAAACACTTCAGAATTAGGTGTCACTTGATGGGGGTTTACATTGAAAATTTTTTAGTTGCCTCCCATATCCTCCCTTTTGGGGGGACACTCAAAAATTTTAAAATCATAAAATGGAACTTCCTGCTAAGATTGCACGACCACCAAAAGGATATCTCTGTATATTTACTTGGAAAAATATTAGAGGGGGAGGGTCTTGACTTTTTGTTCACCCTGTATATACATATATATATGAACTTGAACGAATTGTGTTTTTGGCCTCTATAGGGACCTCAAAACAAAGAAGTAAATCGGTGCCGGGTCCAGGTCTTACCATGAGTACTACAGTAATAGCTTATTCCCTATATGGGAAATTCGCTAAAACCTCTTGGTTCAATTTAAACATATTCATACGAGGTGTGTCATAATATTCATGGTTAATATAATCATTCTTCTTGATAGTTATTTGTATGTTTTCTCAAGAGTCAAAATATTTTCTAAACTATTTTGGACAATCCATTTCTGGATTTGTTAAACATTTTCATAACTTCCAAGCTTAATGTGCAGGTGCTGCTCTAAGTTATGATATTACTCAACACCTTTGAGGGCTATACTATAACACACGTAGAAGCCACTGGCAGGATTTTGAACCCAGACCTTAAAGATAGAAGTCCTGTGCTCTGATCGACAGACAAGCAGCTCTCTAGATTGTGAGATGTGATAACTGTTGGACCAGTAATTCTAACTAGTAATTTAAAGAGTCGAGTACTTGACTCGTTAAGTATCGAGTAGACTCAGTACTCGTGAACTTAAGTTAACTAAAACTGCCGCTACGAGTCTACAGCGCTTGGTTTGGGTGCAAAAATGGGCAGCCCTACAAGGGTCTCCACATAAAAACCATAACCTTTTGATTAGGAAAAACTTTTTTTGTTTTTAGCGAATTTCCCATATAGGGAATAAGCTATTATTAATCTTTAGTTGCTTACCTTGGGTCTACTGCTCAATAGTTTGGTGTTGTCACTGGTACATGGGTGTCCAACTCAACACCATTCGGAATGCTTAGAAGACCATTTGTTATTTTATTTATTTTTTAATGTTTGTTTTGATGTATCAGACTTAGGATACTGAAGTAGACACCCCATCTATACAACCCAGCTGTAGTCTGTCTTTGATAAAAAAAGCACACTAATTCTGTTAGCCACTCTTTATCATAGAACTTGCTGTAAAGCGGGACGGACGTATGGCCATGTTAACATAGTTAAAGGGCCCTTTCACACAAGGCCACTGGTGGCTGACTAGTAGCTATGCATGAGTGAAGGATGAGTGTAGAGTGGAGTGAGATGATCTGTGTAGCTTGTTACAGACTTAAGAGTGTGTTCACTAGAAATCTGGTTACAAGTAAGATATTTTCAGCGCTTGAGAATTTAGTGTTTTGGAAAATGTCTTCATCAAGTGGTTAAAGAGTTATTTTTGCTTGAAAATGTCAAAAAAAATTTTAGAAGGAAAGTTAGTGTTTATGCAATTAACCGCGGAAGAGGTAGGTATGCAGAATACCACCACTTATTTCCTCAACTGACATTGGACAAAGTAAGGTTTTTTTCTTATATGAGATGGAGTTTACCACGTTTAGTTACATACTCAAGAAATTCTATTAGCATACGTAGTTTGAGGTGTTTGTCCCAAACAGCCCCTCTTCTTTAGCCTTGAGATATCAGTTCATCGACATCCATACGGCACAGTTGTTTGTTACTGACTGGTTCGGTCAACAAGAGCCGGAAAACAAGTACAAAACGTTCTTGCGTGCTTGTCAGAACTTTTAGCAAGCGCTTGCTAGCCAGTGCAAGCTTTGTCTGTGAACGCACACGCTTGATACAATGTAGACTTTTCTCACACCGGTTGGAACTTGCAGGCACTTGTAACCAGCTTTCTATGTGAACGCACATTAAGATCATCTGTTTCATTGGCCAAAGCAATTTATTTATCTAAAGCACAATGATCAGGAACAGCTGGGTCCCGTCTCGTACCATCTAAAAGCTACTGACTTTTCTCAGACAACCTTTTAATTGTTAGGCAAGCACTCTACACTCAGCTACCTAGCCTGTTCTAATTGTTATTATTTATTTATAATGGGAATGAACAGCCATTACAACACACAGATGAAAAACAGCTGATCTTGAAAAATTCTGTCTTGTTTATGATGTGGCCAACCAAGCTGTAATGGTTCAATTATCGTTTTAAAATCCAAAGGCTCCCAGTCAAATACTGAGAAAAATAAATGACTGGCTAAAGAAACATTGACTGTCTTAACAATAAAGCTACAGGAGATATTTGACTCCATTATCCATTTATATTTGGGTTTAACCAACCTATTGAGTTGGTAACTTAAATAAGTGTTTCAAATAGCACAGCCATTTCCAAAAGACAACTGCAAAAATTTGGTACGTGTGTAATGTCAATAACATCCTTGTGTTCGCTGGATGGCTATTCAACCTTCAAAACATGATTTTGAATTAGTTTTAATAAAATCAGTTCAGTTTCACCTCTTAAGTTATAAAAAAGGTAAAGTAGGTATATTTTTAAATTGATTTGTATATGTACTATAAATCTTGCCTGGCAAACTTCTGTGTGGCTTCAAGCTGTTCTGGTTGAGTTATGCTTGTAAAACAGTTGCAAGTTAAGTTGGCTTTTTAATTAAATGACAAACTTATTATATTTAAATGATGTTTTGACAATTTTTGTTCTATACAAAACAGTGCTGCAATAAGTACAATAAGCTTTTAACCCTTTGAGGTTGATTTTTCTTTCATTTTTCAGCAAGTCTAGGTTGCCATTTGAGCAGTCGGGAAAATGGAGCCCGGCGACCTATACTCGCCATTCTATTTTTTTCTAAGTATAGGTCGCCATTTGACCGCAAAGGATTAAGCGAACTGTCTGGAGGAATTACGAATGGATTTTACAGCATATACTATATTTACTTTGATATTTTATGACATTATTGAGTCATTTCACACTTTTTCAGAAATCAGGACAACAGAGATCCAAGACTTACAACTACAGTCATTTGTATGGATAACAAAAGAAAAACAAATTTACCACACTATGACTACTTCTCAGTTATTAAAAATACAATAGGAATGTAAAAAAATAGACAAGGTTTAAAATATTTTTTTATTTAAATAAAAATTAAAACACTCATTTTACTTCCTTAACTTGAAGACCTGAAACAAAAAAAGAAAGCACAACTTTACTAATGTAAGAATACAAAAATAAAGAAAATAAAGTTGTAAGAAAGTCATCTAATCATTAATTTTAAAAAAAGCACGTTTATTCTAATTCTTTGGTAACTTAAAAAAACTTCTTTGCCAATTTGTTATTTAAAATCAAATTACAAGAGGGGTTTGGCTGCTTATAATAATTCAATTGTTGACATGTCTAAAACTGAAATACAGTAAATCCCTAGGGTCACAGTGAACAATTAAATTCTAAACAAGAACTTTTAATTAATTTATCTTATTTTTAAAGCTATGGTTCCACAGACTGTGGAATTTCCACCGTGCATTGCAAAAATTTCCGCTGCGGAATTACGACACTGGTTCAATGGAGTGCCCTGTGTCCGGTTGCATTGACGTGCGTTTACGCATCCGGAATTTACGGTTCCGCATGGCGGTCAAATCATACTGGTCTGAGATCAGCGGCAGTACAGAATCCGCCAGCGGAGATGAGCTATCAACGTTTGGGACCGTTTAGTTATTGCAATTACATTATATCTTGTGCGGTAAAAAGAGGTGTTTATGAACGTTTACTCAATTTTAGTACATATCTTAATGTTACCGTTAGTTTAATCCCGGCATTCAAAAGTTTTATGTCTTGATTAGAGGGGTTGGCGGGTAAGTCATCTTTAATGACATCAACCAAAATAAAAATTGGTCTTTTGACACATTGCAGTACCGCTTAAACATTGTTTCATTGTCTACCAAATGTTTAAGAACGAGTTTGTTGTAAGCTCTTTCGCTGTCCCGATTCTTAAATATATCACTCCAATCACTAATGAGTTGACACCAATAAAGACAAAAGATCGACAACATCAACATCATCAATATCATCGTAAGCATCAAAGCCACGAGAGATTTCCTCTTCCTAACCATACTTGCCGCTAGTTCGGACACAACTGAATTCCCGCAGTCGCAGCGGAACCACCCATCAGGATTTTACGTGGCGTAATTTCTGCAACGGGCAAATTTCGCATCACAAGGCAAAAATTCCGAATTCTGTGGAACCATAGCTTAACTCTTGGGTTGCCATTTATTAAATAGAACTTAAATGTTGATTTGACAACACCAAAACTTTAGAGATCAGTCTTATAGCTCATTTTATTGTTTAGGGTAGCCTTATTTTTAACTTTATATTTACCAGCCAGACCTTCTAAGCTAAACAGTCTAAATTAGATTTTTTTATAAGCTGTTATTACAATAGTTGTGTTTAGTACACTGTAGTTTACTAATTCCTCTTAAGATTTTAAAACTAATCTAGGCTATTCATTTTAGAACAAACATCTAATGGTTCAGAAATTTGTATATGTCCTGACGCCCTTGAAAGGGTTTTAGGCCTACAAATGAATCAATGCAAGATTAATATTTGGCATTTAATGAAGATAAATATTTTCAAGATATTTGGACAGCTGTTCGAAAAAGAAGTCTACTCTGCCAGCTCATATTGTCAGCAAAACTCAAGCATTAAATAAAGGAATGTGATAGGGTTAAATTCAAGCATGGAAATAGATACATATTGTTCTCAACTACTACTAGTTTTAATTGATTTCAACTAGGCCTACGGTACGTTAGGTTGTGTTCTGACCTGGAGGTAGGGACTGCTTCAGTTTCTCTGCCTTCTCCTTGTCTCGGATAACGAGGGTGTAGAGGAACCGGGAACACCTCACCTTGAACTTGGTGTTCTCAGGATTCTTCTTTATCTTAACCGCTAAAACAGAAACAAAAACACTATTGAAACCAGCAAACACATAACAAAATAGAAGCGCTACTCAGAGCGCAGGAGCGTGGCAGTCTGACTAGCCGATGAAACGGACAAAGATGGCGGCGCTAGCCTAGTCCCGGCGTCTGCAACGCGCTGGTCCTGCTATGCTTCGAGTCAGGGTTGTTTACATAGGCTTTGTTTAGATGTAAAAATACTTTTGTATAAAAATTACTTAGGTTTTTCTGGAAGTACATTGTCGTATTAGTATATTGTTGGAAATATCTTAAAGTAAATCGATTGTTTTACTGTATTATTGCCGACATAAAATTTATCTAATGAAAACCTTAACCCTTAAGTTCCTATAATGAATTATTCCCAACTGATTAGACAAGCACAAATTTGTTTAATCAGAGTTTACTTGCTATTTCCAAAGTAATGGTTTAAGAATCGTTTAGGTTGATGTTAGCCTCCGGATTACCAATAAACACAAACATAATTACTCTATTTTAATGATAAATTAAAACAACAATAACCAGCATGTACTCTGGACGGATAAAAAAAAAGAGTAAACTATAATAGATATTATAACTGGTCTTAATTTAAGTAGTGTTACACGTTACGAAGTAAATTATTTATACAAAAATTATTGAATAATTTATGAAGAAAATAATAATAATTCTTTTGAGTCTATAGAATCAAATAAGAGATTTATAAATCTAAAGTTATTGTCATTCTTTCTGTACTGTAGCTTGAAATACATTAGAGGTAAGTAACCTGCCTGCTCTACTGGTCTCACTTAAACGCGGCTTCAGGCTGTGTATTGATCACTCAGGGGTTGATTTTTAAAATACCGATTACACAGTAAAAATTTGTGATTTTTTCTCGTTTGTATTAGAACAATAACACAATCTGCCTCATTGTTAATTGAGGAACAAACCATGAATTTATTACTGGCAAAGGTGAACGTACTACCTGTTGTAAATTGTAATCGTAGGCATATGGTACAAACTATTCGACCTATTGTTTGGTCCAAAACATAAAAAGTCAATACTTGGAAATGTAAATGAATTAGGGGTGAACATTGTACAGGGATGTCCCGTTAATCCTTATGTTACTCCGAATGGATTTCATTTGCAATTTCTTAGATTTCCCTTTTACGACAGCCCATTCCAGTTTTTGGGGTGTCGGGTCACTCGGGTTAGTTCACCCGATTTATTGACCTTTAATTTCAACTTAAATATTGTTTTGATTTTACGTGGCAATGGCAAAAGAGAAATTCTTTAACACACACAAAAGTATGGTACTACTAATGATTAAACTATTTTTCGGAAATTACTAAATGGTTGTAATTTATTTCACTTAGTTAGTCATCAGTTTAGGCTTATTGAAATATTTTTATACAAGACAACCATAATACTAAACGTGTTGTTTAGTTTTAACAAATTAAAAAATATTAAATGAATGAATTTATTTCCTATATTTCAGAACACTGTATACAATTATAATTGTTGAAATATTAAAACTGGTCTTTATTCAAGTAGTGTTTCCAGCTGTAAAATAAATTATTTATAATAAAAAATAAACTGATACTTCCAGAATCGAATAACAAATATTGTATCTGCCCGCTGTAAAATATGGGGCAAATTCAGTTTGAGAACACAAACAAAAAATACTTGTACTTAAGGTAACGCTGTTATACTGAAGAGTTGGTGCGATGGCGATAACCTACATCCTGTTGAGAACTAGTCAAGTGATTGTTCTTTTACAAAAATAGTACACATTTCTCAGGATATGAAATAGACAACAATCATTTTTGTTTAGTAATTAAAACGATTGATCAAATATATTTCAATGTTAGAGTTTGCTACTACTGTAAAATAAGTAACGAAAGTCTTCACAAAAATAAAGTCAGGCAACATCTCAATAAAACTGTATTTTTTCTGGGACAATAAATTGAGTGTAATTTTACAAATATTTGGGAAGTTTTATTTAACTTACATAATTAATTATCCAATATTACAGTACAACAGTATAAATAAAACATGTAAACACTGCACGCTAAATTTATAGACGACGGCCCGGCAGGGCAGCGGGCGTGGCGCGGAGCAGCGGCAATGGACCCCTTTTGTACCTGATATTTTTAGAAAACCACGCACGATAAAAATTTTTGGTGAATCGGATAGTTAAATTTGGTTATTTATCCACAACTTTCCCGCTGACGAAATTACTCTGACCAAAAAATAAAAAATTTCCTCGCAATACAACTTTTTCATGTCTGAATGTGAAAAATTAAACTACATAGGCCTAAGTAATACAAATATTTATAAATCAATTACTATCATAACTAATAATTTTATATTACCACCATCGTTATCCTCAGTATCAGATCTACAAGTGTGCAAAATTTCAGCAATTTTTGTCAACTATTAATGTTGTTTATGATCGTGTATTTTTCGTGGGGTTTTTAATGCGAACTGTGCTCGCGGGTCTTGGATTCAGGCTGTATGACGGACCAAGATGGCGGATTTGGCCACACTTTTAGTGCATTTGGATAAACGCCGTGTCCTCTCTATTATTATTATTATTATGTGCTCCCTGATTGAAACTGCATTAGGGATTGATAATTTGTGACCAGCAACTTTCATTTTTATTCTCGATTTTAGTAATTTTAACGTTTACGCAATGATATTTAAGCCTAACTAGATCTGTACTCATCTCTATTAAATATTGATTAGATTGTGATTTTGCTGATATGCAGTTAACTAATTTTAGGTAGGTAATTTAATCAAAATATAAAATTGAAAGCCCTGTCATTCACCGTATCACCAATTCTAAATCTCCCTAATAGCTAGAAGGCTGAGATTTATTATATGTCTACTCATTATTCTGGGTAAAATATGAAAGTTCAATTTTAATAATGATTTCACTAAAGGGTTGCTCCCTAAAAGTCCTTAAAATCCCGATGATAATCTCAGCAACATTCAATCTTGCCATGTAAATTGTTAATCATAGGCACATGTCATTTGTTGGAAAATATAAATGTATACAGTAGAATCTCGATTATCCGACCTAAACCGGGCGCGGCAAAGGTCGGATAACACGGAAAATGACAAAACCGACGTTCGCACTGGCGCTGTGATTGCAGGATGTGTTGACGATCACGCCGAGAGCGTTGGACATGTTGACGATTGTTCCGTGATCGCGGGCAATGTTCACGCTGAAGCTGTGATCGCGGGATGAGTTGACGATCGCATCACGAGCGTTGGGACATGTTGACGATTGTTCCAAGATCACAGGAGATGTTCAAGTTGAAGCCGTGCCCAGGAAAGTCGGATAACCGAGACTCTACTTTACCATTTGTTTAAAAATGGTCCTCCTACATAGCATATGGAGAAAGTAGCCTATTGTTTAATCCTCAAAATTTTTGAGTTTTGTGTTGATATGTCCGTTTTGGTTTCCTAAATTTAAGTAAAATACTGTTTACAGTATGCATTCAAACGGTCCATTTTAACAAGTTTTTGGGACGTCGGTTTAACCGGAAAACCTGGTACTGGACTCGGTCCCGAAGAGTCCGGATAATAGCTAGACTCTACTGTAGGCTGGCTACAGACCATGTGATGCCATTTCGTGGCATCGGTCAAGTGCCAGGATACAAGTCACCAGCCGTACACGTCACAAAACTGCCTTGGTATGTTTTAAAAGATCATATCAAGGGATATTTTCTTTCTAAAAAAATGGGGTTGTTGTGCCACTGATTACACAAATTTAGATCACACAAACTTTAAGAATGTAACACATCTAGTATAATTTTAACAAAAGTGTTTTTGGCTTCTGGGAACATCAAAATAAAATAGGGTAGGCAGTAAATCAGTCCCAGGTCTAGGTCATACCATACCACCTCTACGTTAATAGAGACTTCATCATAGGGAAATTTGCTTAGCACTCAATATACAGATTTTAAGCTTAATAAGCTATAGGCCTACTTAACAGTACTCACATTTGGCGTCTTTCCTTCTTGCCTTCAGCAGGAAGTCCTTAATCTCCTTAATTTCCCTCGGCTGCAAAAATTACATCAGGTTAGCTTAAGCCTATGAAGTATACTTTGACAAACAGCAAGGAGGGCAAGTTATTATAAGCTTGCTTGCTCCAGCCTTAGAATTAACGGTCAGTTATTTTAAGGCCGACCACGGCCGTTTAACCTTTACAGAATGTCCGTTTAACCTTTCCAATAATGGTTAAGTTTAATGGGGTTGAAGTTAGATTTAGCCTACCCATTTTTGACTCTAAAAAAATGAAATTTCACAACTACTTTCCAGAATAAGTTATTTTGCAGAGCTTAAAAAAGAAATAATTTTGCATAATGAAGCGCTGTTGCAGGCCTATGCCTAACGGTTAAGGAGATAATTAAAGAACTTTCTTACAAGGGAGAATAAATAGGGAACTGTTGTAACTTAGTTTGCTTGTTTATGGATGTATTACCGGACGTGGATTAGGCGTCTGGCAGTTACTGTCATAACCTAACCTAGCCAACCAAACTTGATGATAGTGAAAAAATCTAAAGCCCGCTACACACGGTCAGTTCGGTGTGTCAGTTTGGTGTGTTCACATCGAACTGACACACCGAACTGACCGTGTGTACGCCAAATTGATGTGAGCTCACATCAAAAAACTGAACTGATGGACTGATGAAAATTCATCATTTCGGTGTGACACGCCGAACTGATGTCAGTCCGAAGTGAGCGTGTGTACCGCCGCGTCAGTTCAGTTAGTCAAATTTTGGTATTTGAGCATACGCAGCGTCATTATATAACCTATACCATAGATAAAACACACTTCCTTAGTAGAATTCTCATACTTAAGAATAAGCTGAAGAAAATTTATTTGTTAGTTCTGTCCGTTGTACTGTAGATGTCATTTTTTGTTTACAGTTTGTTTATTGTCATTTAAGTCATTTACAATTCACAACAAACAATAACTTTAGTAATCATATAATTCTTTTAGGTATTGTGGAAAAGGTGAAAGAGATACATCTCATCACCAACAAATCTGTCGTGTGTAGGAAAATAAACATTTTTATGAAAATACATACGAACGAGTACGACTTCCCAGGAGGGGATGTGTTCCTGGGAGGATTAAACTCCCAGGTAGCACGTTGAACTGACATACCGAACTGACCGTGTGGATGCAAATGCTGCGTTCAGTTAAAAGTGACAGTTAGAAATGAACACACCAAACTGACACACCGAACTGACCGTGTGTAGCGGGCTTAAAATGAATGTTAAATTCTGTTCATAAAATAAAATTATAAATGCCAAATAAAATTCTAACATAAGATGTAAGGTACCTACAGTTAAGAAGAAATGGCATTCAAAGCAAAATCTTTGACAAAAAGTTAATGATACCGATGGGTTTCCGAACCAGGGACCTCTTGTATATCAGCCGAGCACTCTATCCACTACACCACGAACACCGATACCTGTAGGCCTACATCGTATGGTTGTGAAAATGGCGTTCCGGGCCCCCACAACCCGGTGATGTCACCGCCGGACTTCTAATCCACGTCCGGTTACCGGGCGCGTATCCTCTGTGTTAGATCAAATCTGGCAATTTTGATTATTTCATACTAAGCTAGGCCTATCAACATTTAAATAAAAACACTCCTTAATACCTTCCCTGTAGCAGCAAACCTAGGTACTCATTAAAATTTATGTTATTCACTTAACTTAAATAGGCTAGGAAAAAAATATGAAAAATTTCAGGGAATATTTTAGTAGGCTAGAAATCTAGCCAGGTAAATGGAAATTCGGTTAGTTAGGCCTACCCTGCAGGTTTTCTGCGGCGAGAGTATTTTATCATAAGTTAGACCTACTTATATTTTTTATTATAAAATTGTGAATCATAACTTAGGCCTACCTTCCTATATTATTGTAGCCCATGAACTTGTGAAAAATATATTATGAGAACATAGCCTATATTAGTTTCTCAAATTAAAATTGCCTCTAGACATAGTTTTGAAATTAAATTCTGCAATTCGATAAAAAACAGCTTGATGCAAAGGTGTCTCTGTTGGACGCTCAGAAGGTTATGTAACAGTATAAGTTACAGTAATGACGACAGAGACATTCAAGAATTTCAGTAGGCCTAACATAACTTACAGGTAACTTAACACATTGCCCTCTTTAGACGTCCTCAACCCTATTAAGAAATAGCGGAGGACGTCCTAAGACGTCCTTGGGTAAGGTTAAGCAAATGGTGTTACAGTTGTCCCCGTTTTTAAACTAGGGAATTGAAACTCTCTCAGCCCTTGGGGGGCATACCGTAGTATTACGTCATTACCGCCGCTTGCAGATCCGCCGCTCCAGTTGGTGGCGCTCGCGGCAGAATTTTTGAATGAATTGGCTGAATAAAAGCAGCCAGTATGAGTCTAGTGTTTGACGGAGAACGTTACTACTTGCTGAGCGTGGTCTGTAATTACAGTCTAACCTTGGTATAACGAACCTCAATACAACGAATTCCTTGATATAACGAATTTTTTTAAATCCCTTGAACTCTCCATAAGACACAATGTATATTTTACCTCTGCATAACGAACAAACCAAAACAACGACCTTGATTTAACGAATTTTTCGTGATTTCGGCTAAAATAACACACCTCAATATAGCGAATTTATCATTGTCAGAACCTCTACATTGCGAATTTAACCTCTGCATAACGAATTGTCTACGTCTTTCCCTCGATATAACAAATCCCCCACCCCTTTATTGTTTTTGAAAAATCTGTTTCTTTATCAAATGAAATGGAAAGGTGACGTCATCGCTTGCGCTAACATTTGTCTGCTCCGTTTTACGTGGTTTTACACATCTCTGTCTGCTTTCGCTGCGCGCGCTATGTTGCAACTGAGAACTGATTTCATTCACTGAGGACTGATGACGACGTAATGTTTAGTAAGCTGTGATTGGGCGATAAGTAACTATGGTGAATTGTACAGTTTTTGGATGAAGAGAAACCTAAGAAAGAATATAAAAACAAAACCAAAGAGAAAGAATAGCAACATCGTTATTTTAACATTTCTTTTTCGAGTGTTTTTATTATCTTTAAGTTGGCTATGATTATACACTTTTATAATGCCTTATCTAATAATTTACTGTATTGTTTTCAATACGATTTGTTTCAACTAGCAACACCAATGCTATAGTTAATGATTATTATTGACATTCCTCTGTTGTGATAAATCAGTACTGTACTGTAAGTAGCCTACAGGACTATCACGAGCAGTAGCTTACAAAACTTTCTACTACTGTTTTGTTTTGTTCTTTACATGGTTTATGACTACGCAATAGGTACAGTGTTTGGCTAGGTTTTAGGAGGGTTAGAACAAGCTGTGATTTTAAACTTACAGTTTTTTAACCTGTACCAAGGTCAATGCCATTGTCATGATTGCGCAATATTCAAGATCCCTCCCCTTTATTATGCCGGATAATTTAGGTTCTACTGTAAAATTTTAACACTGTACTGTAAAGTATTGTAGCCTATGCTACTTTAATTGTGTTTTAATGACGTCTAATCCCGACCTATATTGACCGACGCTGGTTCTGAACCTCGACTTAGCAAAATTCCTGCAAACATAACCTCTATATAACGAACCTCGTTTTAACGAAACCCTTGATATAACGAATATTCAGTTCGGTCCCTTCAGATTCGTTATACTGAGGTTGGACTGTACAATAGAAATCTGTTTTTGCCGCCACTCCTTAGTTTGGGCGCGCTCCGATTTTTTGCGGATTTTTAAGTAATTTTGCGCTTGTGTTTAGTCGTGTTTGGACTTTTTTATGTATTACGTTCAAAGCAGTGCTGCTATCAGTGGGTGTTTAGCGAACTACGTCGACTCTCGTTGTAAAGCAGGACATTGCCGCACGTTCTTTGCTATTCTTCAGACCGAAATTGGAAAGCCAATCACACGCGGCAATCGAATTTGTTCGACGCTGAGGGCTGCGCCGCACTGGGTTACGCCCGCCCTTTGACGTGCCGCAGCGAATGTGTTAAACAACATTTAAACAATCGGTGTTCAGCCTAGGCTATGTTTTGTTTTGATGCCCAGTAGGCCCAAACATTAAGTTAGTTAGCCTAGGGCAATTTTGACACAATGTTAACAACTAAAAATCTAGTTTCTGGTTCAATGTACTTAAATTAAGTTATAGCCTAGCCTACTAACTTATAACTTAAGTTCCCATAACTCTAGTCTCCTTATAGTCAAGTTTAAGCATTATCTTAATTCTCAAATTAATAGGCTAGATAGCAGCATAGCCTATGACCCAAAAAATGTTTAGTATGTGGAAGTAACGGTTGCACTTTACATTACGTCCAACACTCATTCTAATGAAAATATTGATTACCGGTATTCTATTGTTTCATTCGATACAGTAGAGTCCCGCAAACTCGGCGTAATGTGGACTGGAAGGGTGCCGAGTTTGTGAAATGCCGGGTTATCAGGAACTAGGGTTAAAAACAAGAACAATACAATTTTTAATCTTATTAACTACTTCTTTAATTTATATTTAGCCTATATTACAAGTTAGTATTAAGTCATCAGATATAGTAAAACAAATCATTTGTACGAGCTGAGAATGATTTGACCGATGAGTCCGTGTTTAACTCGGACTCAATAAATCACTAATTTTCTGAGCCAGGTGATGGCCGAGTTATCCAGACTGCCGGGTTATCGAGTGCCGGGTTATCGAGTGCCGAGTTTGCGGAACTCTATACTGTATATCCCTCCGAGTGTCCATAGTTTAGGCCTTAATGTCCACCTATTTTTGGCCCCTTTGCAAGGTTTTATTAAAACGGATCTGAGAAGCTTAAAACAATGTTAATTCTAATGTTCTATATACCATTTTGTTTGGAAAATCATGGGCTTCAATATTATATATAAAACATAAGGAAAATTTTTTCAAAAAAAAATTTTTAGGTAAAAAAAAAATATAATTTCGAAAATTTTCAAAAAAAAAAATAAGTTCGCGCTCAATGAAATTGTATAAATTATAGGCCTATAAATATTTGAAAATAGCCACTTTGTTCTAAATTTAATGAGGATTACAAATATAGGCTATAATCATATAGCGAGGTAAGTTATCAAATAAATAAGTTATGAGCGAAAAACGGATTTCAGTACATAGCGTTTAGCTAAGAATGCATAGCCTAACCATAGCTAGGAATCTGGCTGATAATTTACATCAATATCACTACCTACTTCTTCAGGATCATCAACCAGCACTTCAAAACCACTTAAATCTTCTTATAATGCACCACGTATATCACTACTTTTGATTTTTAACACTAAAACAATGATAAACGTAATAAAACACATCAGTCATCGGTCCGGGGGAACCTAGCTGTTTACAAATACACGCACGTCAGCTGTCTGCTACAATATTTTCGGAACTAAAATGAATAGCGCTTAAGAGACAGACCTCTGGAGAAAGCTTAGAATATTACGGAAAGAACGATACCTAACTCGATCCAGTTCAATCCGATTCAGTCAGTCATAGAGCCTTCGCCGTAAACGATGTTTGTGCGTCATAAAAGTGACGTGTGACCCTACACAAAGTGTGTTGTGCGTCATTTCTATGACGCGTGACACTCGGAGGGATATACAAATGATATAAGTAACTTATCTAACAATCGATAAGTTATACCAATCAATTTGCCTATTTTCATTCGAATGGAGTGTAAACAAAGTTCAGCCGACGTAACTTATAGGCCTATAACATTTACATAACTTGATCTAGGCCTAAACGAAATAAAAACATTGATTATCGATGTTTTTGCCCTGAAAACATCGATGTTTTCCGATGTTAACATTAATGGTCCAAAAAGGAACTTCTAATTAATGAATGACTGACATGATGAATGTACTTTACCATGACTCACACAACAACTTTGGAACTATTTAATGATAGTAACATTAATGAAATAAATAGTCTAATGATAATACAATAGCCTACCAGGCTAGGTGTGATTGATAATTCGACTCACCATTTTTGAGGTTAGATGAGCAGGCAGTTGTATCCAACCTGAAATCAGACATCAACTATATTGTTTAGGGTTGAAATAAAATAAATTGCGGTAGCTTATGTGTTAACATTAGATAATACTAACTTTTAACTTATTTAATTCAAGATTAAACTCGATGAAATAACTTCCGTACCAACCTGTCAATGAAGATTTGTTCTAAAAGGAGGAAGCTCAGGAGTAAGCAAAGACATGTAAACAATTGTTTTACAAAACATGCATCCGGTAGCGCATCTATTATACTCAAAGACACCTAAACTATAAACACCACTTAAAATATGTATATAAATAATCACATCAAATGTACTTTATTGCCACAGTAACTTGCATGGCTTGAGTCACATTATTCAAATACATAAATAACTCCATACATTATTTAACATTACACTCAAGTAACAAACCTCTTTACCACCGATTTTTAACATTGTTTTGATATAGCAATAAGACACCCGAGTGTTTAGAGTGCTCGCCTTCTATTCTGAAGGATTTCAAGCGAGATCATTTCCAGACCCAGATCCTATTTTAATTTATAATTATTATTAATCATTGAGATGGGGACGCCTCCTAGGTGCGTATTTTAACTCAAATATAAGTGATAGATGAGTGTAGAATGATGTGTGATGATATGTGTAGCTTTGTTACTGACCAAGTTCAGCTGTTTTTATTAGGTGGTTCTTGCCCTTAGGAGAGGGTTTATCAAAAAACTTATATTTTTCAGTGGAGTTTTTACCGTACATCAAGACTTTTCATTCAAATATGGGGTTGATAGGTGCACGGCTCAGGGTTGCAATTTTCTAAGACACCAGTCTGGTGGTGCCACAACGTCGCACCATGGTTTCTTAATTATCGGACTGTTCACATTTTGGAGCGACTGGCAGGGCCACTGGTCCAGCGGGCATTACTCAGTCTATTAACAAGCTCACTTATCTACTCTTTTTAAGTGTTTTTTTTTTTTTTTTTTTTTATGATATACAGTAACAAAATGTATACTCTATTTCATTAAATCTTTTCGTCATTGTAATGTACAATTGTGTCAAGTTTTTACAGTGTTATTAATTATTATTAATAAAAATGGTATATCAACATCAACTATGTTTTATTTCATTTACCTTAAAGTTAGTAGTAGTTTCTCTTCTGGAGGTATCCTGTCCCGCAGTCTCGTAGATTGTCCTGATATTTTATATTTCAGACGTCCCAGACACTCAACTTAACACAAACACACAAAACTTAAAACACTCATTCTTGAGTAGGCAGAAAACTTGTCAGGGGTAATTCTATGGTCTTTGGTAGTGAGTGAAAAAAAGTCCCTCTGGTACTTCTTGCTGGACTTTCACTCATGATCTGTTATTATTTTTATTTTATTATTATTTAAGTTATTATTATTTTTATTTAAGTTATATGTTTAATTTATGTTAGCGAATTTCCCATAGGGAATAAGCTATTACCTTTGACTATTAATACAACAAACTGTATAATATTCTGTATCCAATAGTCAATGCTATTACCGTAGATCTCATGGTAAGACAAAGGTAAGACCTAGACCCGGGACCGATTTACTTTTTTCATTTTGAGGTCCTCAGAGGCCAAAAACACCATCCGTTCAAATTAATAATATATATTGTAAATATATATGTATGACCGTTAGCGCGATAACTCGAGCAAAAATGATCCGATTTTGATTAAATTTGGTACAAACGTTGTAAACCTACGTTTATTCGAACGAATTCGCGAACCAGCATAATCAGACCATGGGAACAGGGGTTTATGGGGAATTTTTAGGGTAAAAATGGGGGTTTTCAATTTTTTACAAAAAAAATGTTTGCAATTTCTTTCTAAACAATTTTGTATGTAGAGCTTTAAAGAGAAATAATTTAGTATATTGAAGCGCTGTTGTATGCCTAGCGGTCACGGAAAAATTCAAAAATAGATTAATTTTAAAATTCGCGTGTTATTCTTATGGAGAAAATGAAAACTGTTGTAGTTTGTAACTTGTTTATGGATATTTGTTGATAAAATGTGGCAAATTTATTAATTTCATCCTATAATGACATATTATAGACATACCACGAACAAAACAACCTGAGCAGAAACGAAAAGATCACGTGGTTCTCGCCGGTAGGTGTGGCGTACCATTTAAACCTGTGCGGCTCGAAACGGCCCAGGGTTCTTTTGTTTCTGGCATTACTATATCAAAAACCACTTTTTACCTTTCCCGTAGCAGCAAACCTATAAGCACTCGTTAAATCTAATGCTATTGAAATTGGGAATAAATATGTCTTATTTATGGAAATATTTGAGTACCTAAAAATGTAATCAGACAAGTTGAAATTCGCTTAGTCTGAAGGTTTACTGCGGCGGGAGTATATATATTGATATATATATATATATATATATATATATAGATATACATGCTGGAACGAGTTTGCGAACCAGCATGACCGAAATGGGAACGGGGGTTTATGGGGTAAAAATTAGTTTTTCCCATTTGCTAATTCTAAAAACATTAAATTTCACAATTTCTTTTCAGACCATTTTGTAGGGCTTAAAACACAAATAATTTTGTATATTGAAGCATTGTTGTATGCCAAATGGTTACAGAGATAATTCAAAAACACTTTAAAATTCACATGTTATTCTTATGGAGAATAATAAACTGTTGTAGTTTGCTTGTTTATGGATATATTTTGATCAAGTTTGGCAATTTTGTTTATTTCATACTCATACTTACTAAAAATAATTACTTCTATGAAATACCATGTTTTATCTATGGAAATACTTACTAACTGTAAATTAAGTGATGGAAGAGTGACTGAAACAAATTAACTGACAGTTTGACTGAGAAATTGCGAATGCAACTGTAACTGGACTGTAACGGAACTGTGACTGGACTGATGTGTTGAATCGACCTTAAACAAGGTCTGCTACAGCGTCCGGGAATTTGCTGGTAGTCTTTATCAAACCATACAACACAAGGGGTTGTGTATCACAACCAAACAATTATACATATAAGGATGATACAACGATTTAATCGTCATAATAAAATACGTCAAATTGTCTGGGTAGCCAAGTAAATGCTCAATTACAAATATAATTATGAAGGATGCTGGTTCCGTGGGATCGCTGATGGCCGAAACTGATATAGGTATTCGCATTTGTGACCGACACACCAAATAACTGAGAGTGTCTCGGGCATATGGGATATCAGTTATCGGTTGTATGAGATGTCAGTTATTTGGGATGTCTGCCTGAGAGTGATAACGTTGATCACAACCTCGTGCTGTAAAGAATGAGTGGTATAGACATACAAAGACATACGAGGAATATTCTTGAGTTTGCTTCTTGCATGTGTAAGATAACTCAGTAGTCAAGTTAGTATGCATATACTGTTTATTCAGGTAGTTAGACGAGACACGGCCACACGTCCTGGAAAGGGGTCAAAATGGCTATCATAACAGAGTCAAACATGAAGCAACCGTGGTGTAATGGCTAAGACAACCGACCTCCATGCTGGAGGGTTTGGAGTCCCTGGTTCAAATCTCGGATAATACAATGAACTTATTGCCGAGAATTTTATAAATTTTTCATTTTTATTTTATTTTTAATGCATAGTTGATATGATTTAATGTTTTGAAACAAGTTAAGTTTACTAATTGTTTTGTAACAAGCTACAAATTATTTTCAAATAAGCTAATAACTCGGATCCTATTTGTGTATTGGCCCAAATATGTATTGATATCAATACGTATCAATATAACATTTTTTTATTGATATATATTGATCTCTTCCATTAGGGTATATAAAAACACACATATAAGTATAGAGTTTACTTTGACAGGGATTGTGGTGTCCTCCTGTAATCCAGCTACTAGGAGGTCACGAATTGTGGCCATGCACTGTGGATGCTAAACTCCCTGGTGTAGATTAACGTCCGCACGAGCGAGTACCATGACTAACCGCAGAGCTATCCTGAAAATTAGACTAATTCGTTAGTTACAAGGCCAAAATGTGGTTCGGAGTCCACTATAAAATGTAGGTCCCTTTAGCTGCCATTGGCTCTATGGGCTATTAATTAACAGCTGTGTCTAAAACTTCGGCCTTAGTCACCAACAAGACTACCTACATAAGATCGCGCCATTGCCATTCATCCTATACACTCATATTTTGGTTAAAATACACACCTTGTGGCATGACCGATTGTAGTGGCCTATTGATTGACTGAGCTTGTTCTAGCGAATTTAAGGAATGAGCTATTACCGTTGGTCTCATGGTAATTCCTCCAAATTTAATTTTCCATTTGAGGTCCCCAGAGGCCAAAAACACCATCCGTTCAAATTCATATATATTATAAGTGTTCGTTAACGCGATAACTAAAAAAAACTATCCGATTTTGATGAAATTCGGTAAAAACGTGTCAACCTACGTTTATTCAAACGAATTTGTGAACCTGCATGTTCAGACTATGGGAACGGGGATTTAAGAGGGGTTTTATGGTGGGAACAGGGATTTAAGAGGGGTTTTATGGGGTACAAATTGGTTTTTCCCATTTTTGACCCTAAAAACACAAAACTTCATAATTTCTCTCCAAACCATTTTGAAGAGCTTAAAAAATAAATAATTTTGTAAGTGTTGTTGTATTCCCAACGGTTACAGAGATAATAAAAAAAAATGTAAATTTAAAATTCCCACGTTATTCTTATGGAGAATAATAATAAACTACCTATTAAACTGTTGTAGTTTGCTTACATTTTTATATCCTACATTCACCTCCACTCATACTTGGCTTAAAATACCTACTTTGTATGGTCGCCATTTCATTGAAAAGTATTAAAGTGTTAAAAGGTATTTGCAGCAAACCTAAGTACTTACTAAAATTAATGGTATTTAAATAAGAAATGAATCAGACAATCTGTTATATATTCCAAGAATCTATCTTTTACTTTAATATTAATCATATGACTGGAATAATTTCATATTGTAAATAATTCAATGTTTACCTTTTATTATTATGAAATAAACATGTATCAAGAGTTGTGTTCATATAAATTGTATTTATTTGTATTTAATAATTTGGCGACGAGGAAGAAAATGACTGAAATACAAGAGCTTATATCTACTTTGAACAATTTTATGACATTAATGACACAACATTCAATTCAACAGACAGAACAGCCTAGATCAAAACATAGTACTGTACCAAGGAACTACTGCAGAGCAATGCCTTGATGTTTGATACTTATGATGAAAGTAAGGAAACGTTTGAAAGCTACACTCAGCGTTTAGAAATATTTTTTAAAATAAAAGGATTGACAGACAATGATTCAGAGACAGAACAATTGAAAGGTTTATTTTTAATCAATTGCTTAGGTGCTAAGCACTACAATCTGATCTGTAGTCTAACATCTCCAGACAAACCAGACTCAAAAACATATCAAGAGTTACTGATATTACTAAATGAGCACCTAAGCCCAAAGAAGAACATACTTACAGAACAGCACAAATTCTTATCACGTTTACAAGATCGAAATGAATCAATCACAAATTATGTTACAGACCTCAAACAACTGGCTTGTTCAGCAGATTTCAAATCTGGGTGTAATGAAGGAAAATGTACAAAATCAGTTATAAATCTTATGCTCAGGGCTCAATTCATCAGAGGTTTATATGACTCAGACATAAGAGAAAAACTCTTACAACTAGGTGAAATATCATTTGAAAAAGCCTTAGAAATCGCCTTGGCTATAGAGGCATCAAAACTTGACAACCAGATTTTATATACTAATAATAATGAAAATGACATTCACAAAATCAGTAAAACAACAAAGAACAAAATTGGACCTAAAAACAAAAATTTATCAACCATAAACTATTTCAATAATGACTCAAGCAAAAAGAAAGACAACAAAAACAAAAGGCTACAAAGACTGGGATTTTCAGATGTCTGTTTGCACTGTGGAAGGAATAACCATGAAACACAAAATTGCCGATTGATAGATGAGCTAAATTGCAGGTATTGTCATAAAGATGGACACATAGAAAAGGTTTGTATCATGAAACGAATACAGGAATTACAGTATTCAAAGAAAAATGTAAAAAGAATTGATGAAATTGATTCTGAATATGAATACGACGTTCAACGGATCATAAATGTATTGAAGAATGACGAAGGAGATGACAGAATGATGATAAACGTATCTCTAAACGGTAAACAGCAACGTTTTGAGTGTGATTCTGGAAGCCGCGTTAGCATAATAAATAATGACGACTTCAAGAAACTAGACTTACATGTTCCAGTTTGCAAAACAAGTGCTCTTTTTCGATCTTATACTGGACAAATATTCAAACCAATCGGGGTCTGTACCCTAAGCATATCTTACGAAGGGAGATCTTGCAGAGAAGACCTATACATTGTAAATCTACCTAAAAACGCTATTCTTGGAAGGGATTGGATTCGAAAATTGAAAATTAACTTATACAATATTAATCTTGTTAGTATGAAGAAACCTGAGATTGATACCAACACTGTTGTCAAATCCATCAAGCAAAGATTCTCAAGCGTTTTTGAACAATGTATTGGTAAAACACCCAACTTTACATGCTCTTTAAAACTAAAAGATAATTCAAGACCTGTGTACTTAAAACCCAGACCAGTACCTCATGCCCTTCGAGAAGCTGTTGAGAATGAACTAGAAAAACTCGAAAAGGAAGACATAATAGAGAAAGTGGACCAATCTGAGTGGGGAACACCAATTGTTGTGATTCCAAAAGCAAATGGATCGGTCCGTATTTGCGCGGATTACAAGGTAACTGTGAACCAACAACTACATGACAGTCGTTATCCAATACCAAGAATAGAGGATATCCTTAACAAAATGAGAAATGGAAACTATTTTTGCACTTTAGACATTTACAAGGCTTATTTACATCTTTCAGTGGACTCTGAAAGTTCTAAAATCCAGACAATTACCACACATAAGGGTACATATATAGCCAAAAGACTGTTTTTCGGAATTAAGACAGCTCCAAATGAATTTCATAAATTTATTGACCAAGTTGTACAAAATCTTGAAGGAACAGTGGCGTATTTTGATGATATTGTTGTACAAGGCTGCACTTTTGAAGAGTGCAAATCCAGGCTCATAAAGGTCTTAGAAAAATTGGAAGAACACAATCTACATGTAAATGTTGAAAAATGCAAGTTTTTTGAGAGAAAGGTGCAGTATCTGGGTCATATCATCAGCAAAGATGGTATCCAGAAATCACCAGAAAAGGTGAGGGCAATCCAGGATGCTCCCCGCCCATCAAATATCACAGGAGTGCGTCAATTCCTTGGACTAGTACAGTACTATTCAAAGTTCATCAAAGATGCATCTACAGTGCTAAATCCCTTACACCAGCTTCTAAGGAAAGACAAACGTTTTCATTGGTCCCAGGAATGTGAAAAAGCTTTTACTCGTGTTAAAGAAGAGATAGCAAGTGACACAGTTCTTACTCCATACAATCCAGACTTACCCGTGATACTTGCCACAGATGCTAGTCCTGTTGGCTTATCAGCTGTGCTCTCTCATAAAATGCCAAATAATGAAGAGAAGCCTATTGTGTTTGCCAGCAGATCCCTCACTGCTGCAGAGCGCAACTATAGCCAATTGGACAGAGAAGCAACTGCTGTATACTGGGGGTGTAAAAAAATGTTTGATTATATATACGGAAGGAAGTTTACTCTTTGCATTGACAACAAACCACTAATGACCATATTTCATCCAGACAAGAAACTACCACTGTTGACTTCATCCAGGATGCTTAGATACGCTCATTTTCTTTCAGGATTTGATTATGAGATTGTACACAAAAAGTCAAGCGACCACTGTAATGCAGATTACCTCTCAAGACATCCTTTGCCAATAAAAGAAGAGAATATCAATGTGGTTGACGAAGATTACACTGTTCGAAGAGAAACAATACACTGCATAACAACCGATACTATCATGGCTAAAGACATAGAAAAAGAAACGTCACTTGATGAAGAACACTCTTGTTTAAAGGAAAAGCTCCTAAACGGAGAAGTCGCTAACCCAGAAATATCACTGCAAGACGGAATCATTTTTAGAGGAAATCGTGTTGTCATTCCGAAAAAGCTACAACCTAAAATCCTCCAAGAATTACACTCAACACACGTAGGAATAGTGCGGATGAAGAGTCTGGCAAGAAACTACTGTTACTGGAAAAACATTGATACAGATATTGAGAGTATGGTGGCAAGTTGTAAGGCATGTTGTGAGAATAAGAAAAACCCAGAGAAGGCCCCTACCCATGTTTGGGAAATACCAAAACGCAATTGGCAGCGAGTCCACATGGATTATGCAGGACCTTTTCTAAATCACAACTTCTTGATTGTTGTAGATGCCAGATCAAAGTAGCCAGAAATATATCCAATAAAAAGTGCGCCAACAACTGCCAGTACTATTCATCACCTGAGAGAAATATTCAGTCACCATGGCCTACCAGAAATATTGGTCAGTGACAATGCTACAATTTTCAAATCAGCAGAGTTTCAAGCATTCTGCAAACGCCAAGGAATAAGACAACGATTCATTGCACCAGGAAACCCCTCTACTAATGGTCAGGCGGAAAGATTTTGCCAAACACTCAAGACAAAACTGAGGTGCATGCAGTTTGAACAGGGCACTTTACATGAAAAACTATGTGCACTATTATTTCGGTACCGAGCTACACCACTGAGTACTGGTGCATCCCCAGCACAATTAATGTTTGGCAGGAACTTGAGAACCAAGCTAGATCTCTTAAGGCCTGGTGAAGATGACAAAAATGAGGCCCAACAACCAATATTTAACAAACATTTCAATATTGGGGAGAGAGTACAATCAAGAAATTACGTAGGATCCATTCTGTGGAAATTTGGAACTGTGGTGGAAAGGCTGGGGCGACTTCACTACCACGTGGAACTTGATGATGGGTATGTGATAAAACGTCACTTCAATCAGCTTCGAGCTTGTGAAGTGCCAAAAGATCCTACTCATTACAAAAGCCATCTACCTAGCTCATTGAAGCAAACAAGGCAAGAAAGTTCAAACAACCGATGCGACCAAATAGCCAAAGTACCACCTACGCAAACTCATCGAACTTTAATATTCCAAAATACGAATCAAAATTGTTCAAGACAACCTTCATTCGTGGGACATACAAGGTACGGCATGTTAAGAAAATCAAAAGGCAATTCAGAAAGGTCACATGATACAGAAAATGTCTCAAGTAACACCCCGAGCTGGGAAGGAACTACGGACACTGAAACATCGAGTCCTACGGCAAACTCAATGCCTGATAGTGAGGCAAAAAGCCCTATAACTAACAATGAAGCGTCAAGTACAAGCAATCGTACAAGCAGCCAACAAGAGGCCGAAGAGCCGAGTACAATCATACAACAAGACGCTGAAGGGTCAAATGCAACCTCACAACCAGATGTCCCTAACATTCGCCGTTCAATGAGAATCAGAAAACCGATTAAAAGGATGAACTTATAAATGAACGATCTTCTTAAATAAGTAGGGAGGAATTGTTATATATTCCAAGAATCTATCTTTTACTTTAATATTAATCATATGACTGGAATAATTTCATATTGTAAATAATTCAATGTTTACCTTTTATTATTATGAAATAAACATGTATCAAGAGTTGTGTTCATATAAATTGTATTAATTTGTATTTAATACAATCTTTAGGGAATATTTTAGTAGAAATCCAGCCAGGTAAACGGAAATTTGCTTAGTCTGCAGGTTCTATGCGGCGGCGGGGGTATTTTATATTTAATGCGTTATCTAAAATTATTTAAAAATATCCAACCTGCAACGTCTTAATGTCTATAACAACCAAATCAACTTGAAGTTATTAACCTTAGTTTATAAACAAAAAATACTACAGCCAAATAGTAAAGCACAGGACTACACTGCAAAATATACCATTAGATAAGATGATGACAGTAAACAAAAAACAAATTACTTTTAAAGTGCTGTAATCTGGTTGCCCAAAGTACAGTAGGTAACTTAACTTTGCAGTTGGTAGAAGCAGAGCTTAGTAACACACAAAACATAGCATCAAATCAAGTTACTATTTTACCACATGTACTTTTGATGGAATGTTAATTAAAGCTGTCAATACAGAAAAAAATATCCTATCCTGAGACCTAACTTTTGTTTCCAGTGTTGTGGAACTTGAGCGTTAAGTGAGCTCTGCAAAATGCGGTGCACTTCCTATCGCCACAAGCCACTGGCAGAATTGAACCTCATACCTATAGTACACCAATGGTATGCCCTAAATAAATTGTTACAATGGCAGATGGGGAGATGTATACTCATTGTGAGTGAAATATGAAAATCCTTATCTAAATATAATTAAAGTTGGTTCTGTTCTATGATGTTCAACAGCATCAAAGTTACACGGACTACCAACAGAGGGTGCAGCACTACTATTTTTTTTTAAATTTATGACAACAGCTAATTTGCAACCAAAAGGTGCGTAGCAACGAACTTCAACCTGGAGGCGAGTTAGCGTAGCGAATGATCTAACCTGAAGACAAGTGAGCGCAGCGATCGAGCTCCAACCTAAAGATGAGTGAGCGTAGCGAACGAACTTTAACTAGGATGTGATTGAGCCACGCGAATACTTATGAAGTTAAACGGGGCAAAGCCCACAGGTACAGCTAGTTAAAAATAAACAGAAAAGCATATCCATCCATGAATAAAACCATTGAACTATATTAAAGAAAATTAAAATGTTTGGTCAACAATTTAAAACTCTACATTCATCAAAAATCAAGTCAATGGTATACATACAATATTAACAAGAGAGTGAAGGAGGAACATTTTTCACATTGGTGTCTTGCTGGAATGTGATAGGCTATAAACATTAGAAAATTAAATGACAATTTCTTCTTTCATTTTTTTTGAATCTATGACATCATCGGTAAGCTGAAGTGAGCCTCCATGCTTTTCTTCTTAGGGTTGGTCCTAACTGTTTGCGATAGCATCCCCTCTTTAGAACGTATGCCTAAAAATCGCTTCTACATGTCATTAAACTTATTTTGGCTTTATGTGATAATGGTAGTTTTTTTATAAGTTTAACTTTTTACAACCTTTTATGTGGTTTTACCTTTCGTTTTAGCAAAGTGGTATGGGACAGCTAGTTAACTCCTTAAATGTTTAGGCTTTAACAATGATGAAGTGAAGTGTAATAACAATTTACAGTAGAAATACTTTAATTTTTCATTTTAAATAAAATTTCTTAACACATTATGAATTACAGAAAAATACATTATGGTGAACCAGGTTCATCCGTAAAACAACAATTGGATTAAGCCTAGTTAAAGTCAGGTTGTTTTTCAATAACCTTTTGAATTAAAAGTGGCAGATTAAAAAAACCGATTCAAACAAGTTAATAGTGCTGAATCACAAAATTGATACAAATTCTGAATTGTCCTTTTATTATAGAATAAAGACCTAACCCACAAGTCTCTCTGAGCCAATGAAATATTTATTTGTGTAACTAGTGCGGGAAGTGGCACTTTGCTGCACATGAGAGAAATGCTTACAAGTGCAGCAAAGGCAATTTGCGCTCGTGTTACACATTATATTTTTCCTACAGTTGCTATAATGCATATAAATAATAAGACTTTCAAACACTAAACAACACGTTTTAGGGTAGGTTAAAGCCAAACGTTGAACGAAAATAAAAAGTTAACACCAAACAACAGGTTAAGTCGTAATATCAAAATTCAAAAGGCTGAGAAACGCTGCACCAGCTGATTGTGTGGTATCTCTAAGGGTTGCCAGCTTATTTCCAAGCGTACATGCAGGGGAACGCGGGGAATGAAGTTCCGGTACCTCTCTTTCGGGAAGATAAAAATATTGGCATAAATAGGTACAAATCACATTAAATAGGTTACAGTTCTGGCACCTCATTTTTTTACAAATCAAGCACTGTGTACAAACATTATGTGCCTAATAAAAGCACTCTGTTTAGTGTTGTTTGGTTGGATTACTGGAGTGCGGCAAAAGTAAATAAATGAAAAAATTAGCTACTTTGCGAGCTATAATCAGTGCAAGGAAGCCTGATTTGTCTGGTAACTGAAGAAAAACAAATTTGTGTTTGAAAGGCTAGTGTCTACACCAGAAACTAGGAGCGCTGCTATCATTGTTATTTTTTTAAAGCACACATTTCACTTGTAAATATGCTCAGCTATGATAGCAATGGTGTTGTGATTTCAGTTCTTTCTCCAAATGCCCCCATGTCTGGCCTAGCCTGACAGCCGGCTGCAGCAGCGCACCTAGGTTCTCGGCTTGGGTAACACTAGCATATTTAAACGCAACTTTTATTTATAGCTAAGTGAAAGTTCTCGATTACGTCTTTATTCAGTGCTTTTTATACAGCTGAATAAGAACTTGAATCAAGTTGCCACATTATTGGGATGTCATTTGTGTCCAATCAACAATATAAATACATATTCTTATTCTATGGCAACAACATTGGTCGTATTTGCATCAAAGTTACTTAAGGATGTAAAAAAAGTCATAACACATTCAATGTTTGTTGCACACTTGTTTTAATTAGATAAACTCTTAAATGCTGTAGCGAATTGCCTAAAATTTTTTAGACTATTTGGTGGATGCAATGCACAATACAAATATACGATTTAGGTAATATTATATGAACAATAATATTTTTAATTTCTAATGTTAACTATCTCTTTTGTATGTAGTTATTTTTATAAGTACCTGTAATGACCATTAAGCTTAGCACAAGGTCACACTTGTTGACTACAAATTCATACATGTAGTCTGAGTCTTGCTTGGTAATGAGATTTTTACCAGTAATAGTAGACATAAAAATTGTCACTAAAGTCAGCAAAAAAGCTTCGGGTTAATGACTTGTTGAAATATATATTATTAATTCTGGTAAGGAAAAACCTATTCACCCCAAACAAATCTTTAAGTGATCTACCTGTAGGTTCAAAAACAGATGTAACTCTAGCATTATGTACGAGCACAAACTTGTTAAAAGATACTTCAAGAGAGCTATGGGTATGATCATTATCAGGTGAAAATTCAAAGATTTCTGAAAGTAAATTGTTTTTAACAGAGTAAGACTGAATCAAGTATTTTCTACTCATGTCATTATAATCTAAAAATATGAAGTCATCTTTCAAAGTGTTTAAATACAAACAATCAAGCGTAACTTTACATGAAAATACAATTTTTGATGTTAGATAGTTGACAATTATTAGCTTTCGTTTATTCGTGAAAGCTAAAAAATGTTTGATGATTGCACACTCGTAATTCCAAATGTAATGACAATAATTTCTTAGGCAAAATGCAGATGGCAAAAACTGAAGTTGTTTGAAACT